CTGTCTGATCCATGGAGGCACTCAGTAGTAAGCAAGATAAATGATTTTTTTCACCCAGGCCACATCTTTTACAATGTCTGTATGCCCTACAATTGTCATTATTGATTTTCCTTCCAAGGACCAGATCCGAGAAGTCTTACCGTAAGAACCAGTTAAAATCTTATCTGCCCCTTTAATGGAACTGATCCAGTCATCATGGACCATGCATTGCTCCGGCTGGGGTGCAGTGTATTTCTCCACATAGTCTAGTTCCACAGCCTCTTCGGATGAGATGTTCTCCAGTTCCATGTGTTTGACCAAGGGCACTCGTAGAAACTGTCCTTTGATAAGGAAATCAAACTCCACATGTTTGTAGAACTCATTTTGGGCCTGTAGCAGTTTGTTGATTATGTTACTAAGGTCAGCAATTTCAGAGGTGGCAGGGATTGAGAAGGGAACATCTTCAACAGCGTATTTCTTGTTCTCAGTGTAGAAGCGTGTCTGGAGCTGAGTCGTGGTGGGGGAGTATACACAAGATTTGCCCAAAGAAACGTAGGTACTAGTAGTCAGAAAACAGGCGCTCTTGCCCAGTCGGACTACAAAAAGAGGTCACTCAAAACCAAGCTGCACAGGTAGGCGAGATGCTGTGATCCAAACCTGGCCTAAAAATGATACCTATTTAACACAGTTTCTCAACCTGAAATTAACTACCACAATATAGTATTTAACTGTCAGTGCTAATGCACAAATATCAATCAAAATAGTTCAATATCTATTTTAAATCAGAGACAATTAGATACAGATATAAAAATAATGAGTCAATATTTTAAATTAAAAATTTTTAGTTATTTTTTTCAATATTTCTTCTTTGTTTTTCTTCTTTGTCTAGAATAGTCTGTTTTAAGCTCAGAGTAGCATCTTGAAATCCAGGATTTAAGTCTAATACCTTCTTGAAATCTTCCATAGCTTCATCAAAATATCCTGTACCAGAACCCCAAAAATAAAAAAAAAAAAGAAAAAATGCTAAGTATTTTTCTATATTATTCATAACAATGTTTGGACACACATATTTTGCTTTTATATTTATGGGCCTTCAACCACTCCTAATAAAGGGCATGTTTTCTCTTAATGAAGATATAAGGATATGTACATCAAAGTCATTTCATGTGCCCACATGGAATACAACTAAAATTATCTATAGACTTACTTACAAGATGTTAATAGGTACGTGGCATAAATCATTATAAAATGTCAACAAAATTGTATCACCTGTTTTACCTAACTGCAGTAAAATTATGAAACAAAAGACTAATTTTCTTTTTTTGTGTGGGATTCCCATTTTTTTTTTCACATTCAATCACTGTGTGTCATTACAGCATACCAAATGAATTTTCTCATCCTGAGTACACTGTATATTCGTTCAACTGAAAATATTACCATACATATTATCAACAGATAATTTTCCATTTTTGTGACCCTTAAAGATTCTGCTTCTCTTTCCTTTTGATTCCCTCCCTCTCACCCTCCCCCATTTCCCACTCTCCTCCCACACTGTCCCTACCAACCACAGTTGCTCTCCAAGCCTTTACACCTTCCAGTCTTTCAGTTTCTACCAAAGAGTGCAGACATTTGGTATATATTGACTGGGGACACACAATGCCTCTCTTTCATAGTCTGGCTTGCTTCGCTTAGCATTAAGTCTTCCATATTCATCTACTTTCTATCAAATGTCAATGTCCACGAACAGATGAATGGACTGAAAAAGTATGGCACAGAGACCAGCAGTTAGTGTAATGGCTATGTCGCTGGACTCCCACGTAGTCGACCGCGGTTCGAGTCCCGCACCCAGTGGCTTAAACTCACACCGGGCACGTGTGTGTACGTGCCCAATATCCCGAGAGGAGAATGGAGGAGAAGGGATTGTGGCGTGGCCATCCCCTCTGGAGGGTGATTTCTCGCTTTCTATCTCTCTGTCTCTCTCTGTCTGGCTGGCGAGCACATGCGCCCTATAGCAAAAACCTCTCCAAAAAAAAAGAAAAGAAAAAGCATGGCACATACACACTACAGAGACTCATTTTCTTAATACTTTAAATGAGGAACAGTGCCTATGGGCCCTTTACTCCAATCTTCTAAAACGTCTTCACTTTCTCTGTCTCATGTGCTTTCAAAGTTCTTAACTCAGAGAAGTTTCACAGGTGATCACCAGCATTACCCTCATTTCGCTGCTGGGAACGCACAGCACAAGGTAATGGGGTCACCCTCACTCCTGCGCCCAGGCCCAATTCCCTCCCCAGCACTCTGCTGTGATCTATAATGCCTATCGAAAGCCTAAAATACACTCAGGTACACTTCCTTTGTTCCCAGCTCTAAATCTAAATGTCACGTAACTTTAAAACTTGATGATTATCACATTCATTTTACAACACTTGAGAGCTCCAAAGTAGGAGAATACAGTCGGTGGCAAAAAGGAAAAAAAAAAAAGCTCTTACCCAGCCTGTACAATATCAGCCCCCTGTTGTAGTATGGAACTTCAAAACTGGGTTGGACTGCTATAGCAGATGTGTAGTCATCCATGGCTTCGTAAAAATCCACCCTCAAGTACTTGATTTGCCCCCTGTTGTTATATGCAGTAGCCAAATCCTCAGGGCTGCATTTGCTTTAAACAAAAAGTTCACATTAAAAACACTGTGTTACCAAATTCCTCTCATTCCCACTTTCATTCTCTTTGGGGTATTGTCAAACTTCATAGCCTATAACATGAAGCATCTACTCTGAAAAACCAGGCTGAAGACACGGGGTGCAGATAAAGAACTGGAATTGATTTTTATTTAACCCTATTATCTACTTTTGTAAGATTAGAGCACTGTAATGTCAATGGGAAAAGCACATTCATTGTATAGTGTGGTCAAAGCCCCTGTTTATTGCCAACTTGTTTTACTGAATAAACTGTTATTCTGAAATAACTCTTCCCTTTTTAAGCACACAGCAGCAGGGCAAAGAGGACAGATCAGATACATACTGAGCAAGGAAGAAAAGCTAGCCCAACATTTGCTACTTATAAAGTCTCAAAGTGGGAACCAGCAGTTGGCGTAATGGCTATGTCGCTGGACTCTCATGTAGTCGACCACAGTTCAAGTCCTGGACCCAGTGGCTTAAACTCACGCTGGGTGCATGTGCACGTGTGCCCAAGATCCTGAGAGGAGAATGGAGAAGGGATTGCAGCATGGCCATCTCCCCTGGGGAGTGATTTCTCACTTTCTATCTCTCTGTCTCTGTCTTTCTGGCGAGCGCAGGCTATAGCAAAAATCTGTCAAAAAAAAAATATATATATATATATCTCAAAGTGAACCGTCCATTTCACTCTCACATTGTTAAGTGACCTTAAAACAATGAGATTTGAATTGTATTAATAGATAGATAATAAGCTAACCTACAAGAAAAGTCAACATGCTGACCCCCAGGAAGTAAGAGCTAGAGCTAGAGCTAGAGCCCTCCCTCCAGCCTTCACTGGGATCCTCCCCCAGGCCAAGGCTGGCTTCCTGATAGGAGGGTGGGCTCCTGTAACCCCCACAAGGCTCCAGCCCACTTCAGAGGTCCTGTGTGCAGAACCGACTCTGTATCTGAGAGGTCTACCAGCTACCAAAAAAGTAAAGAGCTTTAAGTGAGCAGACTTCCATGAAAGAGACAATGCTAGGCAATGCCATCCAGCCCAGCTCAACAGACTGCAGACCCCCCCTCCCCTCCACCCTGCACCTCTCTCTGCACAGGACAAATTAACCACACAGAGAACACTAGGGGTTCTGCTCCAAGTTAAGGACAGTTCTGGTTTTCTTTTTTTCCTAAGTACTTCTCAGATTTAAACCAGTCAAGAAGTTAAATTTCTCTAGCCTCTCTTTGTTATACTCCATGGGCAAATTACAGTACTCAGAAGGTATCAATGACTGTTACTAAAAGCTACTTCTCTTAACATCTTGATCCTTGATGTCTCAGACAGAGGGACAGTCAGAGGTACTCACAGTCAAGGGATTTCTTTCAAGGCTAAGTTTAGAGAGGAACTGCTCTAATTCTACATTTCTGTTCTGTGAGTTAAGACCCAGAGAGTGGGTACAAGGATACGTACCAGAAGCCACTAGCACCACCATTACTATCTAGAGAACAAAGAGCACACTGCCTTCATCTAGCTTTTATGACACCTGCCTGGAGAAGAGGATAAAGAAAAGGGCAGACTCGGGATGCCAGAAAGGTTTTGGTCATTAAATCTAAAGCGAAACTTCGTTGAAAATTCTTAAGTTCAGAGGGTCACAGTATTATTTAGCCATAGGGCACTTGGCTAGAGAAACAAAGGCAGAGAGAGGAAAAGTGAGAAGTCAATTCCCCTTCCGCCCAGGAGGTGATGGCCAGGCCACAATCCCCTCTCCTCCACTGCTCTCGGAATTTTGGGCATGCACACACACATACCCAGTATGAAATGAGGTAACAGTTAAAGCTAAAGCGTATTTGTGTAACATTGAGATGTTTATAAAAATAGAATTTCTTGACAAAATTTAACCAAGTTACCTATCTAAATGTGGGTTTTTAGCATTTGCTAAGATTAACAAGAAAGAAAAAATCAGGAATTAAGTTTCTGATTAAAGATGCATATTTGACTATTAAAATGGTTAAACCATTCAGAGTGAAAAGTGTTCAAAGATTGCAAATATCATTTTGAAATGATTCCGGAGTCCAATCCAAAAGTACTTCAAACAGTTTTGGAAAAAATGGAATTAAAGTGTGAGTTTATTTTGGTGTAAAATAATTTTGAGATCCATGCAGAGTATTCTCTGTACATGCTGTCGACGGAAAATAAATAACCAGCTGTAAAATTAATAATTAATAATTAATGCGGTTTATTTCTAAGCCAACTGTGAGTGACCTAGGCCCGGAGAAGAGGCATACATGCCTTTTCTCGGGGTGATCATGTACAGAGCTTCCTTTTATTTGCTTTTGAGATTGACACACAACATTTAATTGAAAGATTTCCCATTGGTCTGGCCCAAAAAGGCGGGACATGTAGAAGGGAGGGGTCTTGTAGGTTATAGGGGGGTTCCACAAATTCTTAGGTCAGGCGATTGGAAGGGAAGATCCCTGTCTTAGTTAAAGAAAGGCTTAATCTACATCTCAAGGAAAAGGGAAGTTCTGTGTCTTGGCAAAGGATAAGCAAAAGAATACACTAATCGGTTGAAATATGCATCTCAAAGATACTATGCCAGGAACAGGAGGTAGGAAGAACCCTGTTAATAGAAAGTAAATGGTCTGTTAATGTTTGTGGGCGTGACTTCCCCAGTCCCCTTTTGAAAAGATTTTGGAAAAATAGGAAAAGCAGTCAGACTTCTGTCCACAATGCACTTTCCACGAACACTTTGAAGACCCCTCCTGTTTATATTAAAAATAAATTTAGACTCTAAAAGCTGAAATGACAGAATCCAGTACTCGTGAGTTCCTAGAAGAATCATCCAGCTGTGAGAAAACTCAGGGCTCCTTTAAGATGAGAAACTGAGGCTGAGAAAAGGTGCTAGCTACACACCCAAGACTGGAATTCAAGCGCACGGACCCGCTTGTACCAAGCCATGTGGACGCTCTCCTAGGCAGGTAAGGGGCGGGAATTAGATTTGTTAGACACTGGTTCTTAGGCCGATGTGCCGCACAGGAGGAGTAACAAGACGAGGCAGCGCCCATAGACCTGCCACTGGCAACGACTCCTTGAAACCTATAGGTGGGCCCCAGCCTTTTTGGCACCAGGTCTCGTGAAAGACTCTTTTTTTATGGACTGAGAAGGGATGGGGGGGGGGTGGCTTCAGGATGATTCCAGTCTGTTACACCTATAGTGCACTTTATTTTTATTATTATTGCACCATAATAAGAAAGACTAGTGCCAGTCTGTGGCCCAGATGTTGGGGACCCCAGTAGTAGACTAAGTCTATTCTCAGAACTTAAAACAAGGATCAAAAACTATTTCGTATATTTATACAAATTTTTTTGTGTGTGTAGGGGGGAGTGGTGAGATCAGGATGGCCATCTTTTTGACTACTCAAAAACATCTATTAACTAGTATTCTGGTGTATTACTGAAATAAGAAGACAATTTTATCTTTCTGGTCCATATGAATTTAATAAACAGGGTAAGAATCAAGTCCTCCGTGTTTAAGCCTCATACAAAAGACAAGGTGGCATGGAAAATCTAATCCTTCAGGGGAGAGGAGGGAGATGATGCAGGGGAGATGATTAAATCTCAACTGTCTAAAAAAGAACAATCCCTCTCTTTCCTCATCCTGGCTCCTGCACACCATCAAGGAGCACAACAAAGGAAAAACTGAAGAGGAACAAGAAATGTTACAAATCCAGGCATAAACCACGAAGATGCCTTGGGCAAGCAAATACCAACAGGGGAGGCTGCTAACATCACTGAAAAGACAACCAGATGTTATATTCTTCCTAGCAGAAGTGCACACTCCCACTATAAAGTGCTTTTGCCATAAGAATATGAACTGGATCAAACCTGGAGATTTAACTACCAATTTCTAAGCAATGTGAGAGACAAGTGGGGCCAGCCCATGGCATGGGGTTTAAAGCAGCTGGATCCCACACGGCTGACTGTGCAATCTGAGTCCCAGATTGCTGCTTGAGAAAACCCCAAAAAGGAGAGAGAAATGGAGAAGGGACTGCAGTGCGATCATTCCCCCCGGGTGGTGCATTCTGTCTTTCCAGTGAAGCAGGTCAGCAAAATTTTTTTTTGGTGGGGAGAGGTTTTTGCTATAGGGCGCGTGTGTTTGCCAGACAGACAGAGAGACAGAAAGACAGAAAGCGAGAAATCACCCCCCAGGGGGGATGGCCACGCCACAATCCCTTCTCCTCCTTTCTCCTCTCGGGATCTTGGGCACGCCACCAGGTCCGGGACGCGAACCACGGTCGACTACATGGGAGTCCAGCGACATAGCCATTACGCTAACTGCTGGTCCCAAGGTCAGCAAAATGTTTTAAAAATTTTTGAAAAGACAAAGGACCACATTAAATGACATCAGAGTGACACACTGGCAAATCCCAAAAATAGAAAGTCTCTGGACACACCTAGTGGAGTTTTTTTTAAAAAAGAGAGAAAGAGGAGGGTGAAGAGGAAGCAGCCGCTGAAGAAATTAAGAGGCCTCGCCCAGCCAGCCCAGTAACCTAGAAATTAAGGGAACCAGATCTCAGTTCAAGCCCAGACCTGGGTGCATAAGCACGGATGCCCCAGATATCAAAAAGAAAAATGGAGAAGGAACTGTAGCATAACCATGCTCCATTGGGGTGGTGGTGGTAGTTGGGGGGTGATTTCTCCTGACCTCCCTCTTTCTGTTTCTCTTCAGTAGGCACAAACACAGGAAGGAAGGGAAGGAAGGGTGTGGAGGGCACTGCATATGAAAGCCATCTTGAGCTATCCACCATCTTGGAAACCATTAGGCCTCACTTCCTCACTGAGCAAACCGACTCTCAGAAATCATGTGACCAACCGTCCTCCCCAGAAGCGGTTGGGTTTCTAGGCAACGGGAGAGATCCACCCACATCAATGATTGGTGCTGTTCTATCTTATTTGCATGTGCCCACCAGCTATATATAACTGCCATTTCTCCTCAATAAACAGAGGAAGATGACTCCATCAGCACCTTGTACTGTGTGTGCGTTGTCTGTCCCAGTTGTCTGTCCCAGTTGTCTGTCCCAGTTGTCTGTCCCATCTCTTGCTCCCTCCCCCAGGGAACCTGTTTGACTATCCTGGTTGGGACAGAAGGGAAGGGAGGGAAGGAAGGAAAGGAAGGGAGGAAGAAAGGGAAGAAAAGGAGAAAGGGAAGAAAAGAAAGAGAGGAAGGAAGGAAGGAAGGAAGGAAGGAAGGAAGGAAGGAAGGAAGGAAGGAAGGAAGAAAAAAAGAGAGAGAGAGAAAGAAAGAAAGAAAGGCAGGCCTGCTGTTTATCACACTTGAACTCAACTGATTAGAAACAAACCAGATTAGGGGGCCGCAGGTGGTGTGGTTAGAAGCACTGGGTTTCCACGTGGCCAACTGTGGCCAACTGTGGTTTCAGTCCAGGACCTGGCAGCTTGCTTTCCCTCTCCCCCCCAACTTCTGGTGATAAAGAAAAAATTCTTTAAAAAAAAAAAACAGATTAACAATAAAACATCTTACCAGGAAACTTCTAGCACTACCTGGTCATTTGTTATTAAGGAACTATGTGATAATTGGGTTTTTTTTTTAATTCATGATATAAAACGTGTGCACCTATGCCTGCGCCTGAGCAGCACTCCCACTAGAGTCCCGTTACAAGGTCCGCCATGGCTTTCTGGCCCTCACTC